CCATGCCATCTTACATGTTTAAATATTGAAGTACTAGCCAAACATAATGAGAGAAACGGGGTTAAAATAAAAATAACCAGTTGTATTAATTTGCAATATATAATTCTATTTTTAGAGTGCAAATAAATAAATGTCGGGCATGTTTATAGGATCGATTTTGAAAAAAAGGGGGAGACATCATAAGGGGAAAAAACGCCACCCACCCACTGAAAAAAGGAGAATTCTCCCAAATCAAAATTTTATTTGTTGAGATCTTTTAAAAAGCCCATAAACGGGGGGAACCTAACTCCCACCCACCCCCCACCCAAGATACTATGTGCCATAATGTTATGTTCTTGTGAGTGGAAGTCTACGACGGCATATGTATCATTTCAATTTTGTAGAAAAAAACAAATGAAATCTTTTGTTCGATTCTTTAAATCGTTTGAACAATATTTTTAATATGATGGCAAATCATTTATAAACATTTTAAATGAAGTAGGGCTCAAGTTATCTCCCTGACTCACACCTAATTTGATAGGGAATGAAGAAGTAATACTTGACACATGCTTCACTTTTCATGTACATATCATTAATAATATCATAAAATTTATTTCCAGCATTATATTGTAGTAGTTTCAGTTTCAAACCATTATGAACAACACTGTCAAATGCCTTATGAAAATCTACAAAACAGGCATAAAGTTTACCTTCTTTTGTGTTACAATATTTATCGATTAAACATTTTATATATATATATATATATATATATATATATATATATATATATATATATATATATATATATATATATATATATATATATATATATATTAGGGATGGCAATCGAATACGGAATTGCTAATCGGTTAACCGCATGACGTTCCGACCGATTAACCGGTTAGTCGTATCATAACAGACATTTTCTTGAATTTTTTTTTTCAACTAGCTTTATTCATATACACAAGAAGACTGAAAAAGAAGTAAGAAGTTAAAATATAATTTAATTGATAACGGCGAAAGACACACATACCAATTTATAGTGCTAAAAGGTGATTTAATAGAATTACAGGACAATCGGGGTAACGACGTGGTGTTTTTAAAAACCGTAGTTAACTTCACAAACTGACCAATTACTGCGCAACCTCAAACCGGAGAGCTGTAATTACATCCAAATCAGCTTAAACAGATATGTGAAAACGCTCAACTTTTCTGAATTTTAGGATAATTGCATTTAAATTTACATACATTTTATTTTCCGACTAACCGATTACAGATTTTCTAACCGATTACTATCGTTCCGACCGAGTAATCGGTTAACCGGTTACAAATTGCCATCCCTAATATATATATATATATATATATATATATATATATATATATATATATATATATATATATATATATATATATAATATATATATATATATATAATATATATATATATATATATATATATATATATATATATATATATATATATATATATATATATAATGATGGTCTCAAAGAATTTCACAACTTTGGAAGAACTCTTGCTCAGCAAAACTGCCCACTTAGTTTCTCAGCTAAATACTCAAAAGCAAAGATTTTCAGAGAGAATTAGTGCATTTCACTACATGATTGATAAAGCCATAACTTTAAATTTAACTCTAGATCTCCTGACCTAGGGGCCATGAATTACACAATTATGAGAGAAGCACTTACTCATCATAACTGCACTTAGATTGTATTACTCAAGAAATTAATATTTTTAAAAAATAATGCACTTTCACAATAAGACCAATAGAGCCCTCCCTTAACTCCAGAACTCCCTGAACAAGGGGCCATGAATTCACAATTTGGAAGAGACACTTTTGCTCATCATAAAAATTCACTTAAATTGTTTTTTAAATACGCAGGAGAAGAAAAGATTTTCAAAGAATTAATGCACTTTTACTATAAGACCTGGGGGTCAGAGTCCTGATCCAGGAGCCATGAATTCTGGAAAAGGCAACCTTGCTTATCATATCTATACTCTTAGTTTGTCTGCTAAATATACTGGGAGAGAGAGATTTAAGAATTCACTCAATTTCACTTTAAGATCAACAGAGCCCCATCCAACACCAGAAACCCCGATCCTTGGGACAAGAATTTCAAAAATTTTTATAGAAGGCCCAATGCCTATTACAATCATGCCAACAGTTTGACTATCTGATGTCCAGGAGTAAAATTGGCTTTTAAAGACTGAATTAATTTTGATGGTTTTAGCCCCACCCTTCAGGCCCCAAAGGAGCAGGGACCATGAAATTTACAATCCACAACGAAAAACAAGCTGAAAAGCTGAAATGTTAACATTTTTTTTATTCTTTACAATATCAGAACAGGAAAATTAAACTTTTTATCAAAAATAATGTACATACAAAAATACTTATAGTAAACTATTAGTTCAATACTGCAAAGGAAAAAAAAAGAAAACAAATGATAATTTTGTGACAAAATAATTATCTTCTTGGTTTCTAAATATCTATTTGGGAGTTTTACATTGTGACAGGTCATTTGTAAACATGAGCATATTTCAGTGAAATGGAATTCAAATTATTTCATATGTAATGACAATAGCATTTCGTAACAAGTATGGAGTATCAGTTTTAAAGATTGACATATAGCAGTTCAATGGAAATATGTAACACAATAAAGAGTGGCCTAAGAATCAATATACATGTATTTACCACTGGCTCTAAGACCAATCTCAGATTTAAGTCAAAACCTGCATCAAAATGATAAACTGTCCAAAATGAAAAAATGATATAACCAGTGCTTAAATTACAAACTCTTGAGTGTCAGTTTAATTACAAAGAACTGAAAATTTGACTTCAGTCTGTTTCATGATCCTATGGTCTGGTCTCAAATTTTCAGATGTCAGGCTGTAATCAGCCTTTATGTTAAATTTTCAACTAGGTATGGGTACTTTCCGTGATTCTTCTCCATGACCTGAGTTTGAATACTTGAAATCAAACCACCTGTATACTGTAATTCTACTATGAAGCACCGAATCATTTCAGGTGGAAAACAGTACAATGTCTGAACTGATACCCCCACCCCCACCCCAAAAGTCAGTCAAGTTGCAAATTACCTTACCTAATTAAAATATTAATTGTATGAAAATTAACTTGAAGAAAATCTGAAAATTTGAGGATAAATAGAAAATCAGGAGGACAGAACTACACTGAGATGACTACAAGGGACCTATAAAGTTAGGCTTCAACTACAGATCGAGTCATTTGCTAAGATTTTTTACATCAAAGTTCAACTAATGATATATAGAAAAACATATCTACAAGATTCTATGTCAAAGTAAAATTGTACATAGAAATGTTAACTACAACTGTCCAATATGGACAAATACCCTCTTCAGATAAGGTAACAAGTCACTAAAAATATTTTATGGATCTAGAGGTGTTCAAAATTTGTTAATATTAACAGTCAAAAATTAATTGCTCACTGTATTGATGAACTAAGCCACAGCCACAGCCTGATAAAGTTAATCAATTATGAAGAAAATATTTTGTATCTTATATCTTTATATGGTGAATAAGGAGTGTACAAATTTTCAGACAAATCCATGCTGTAGTCTCCAAGAACATGTCTGGAAAGAATCATGCCTACAGACAGACAGACATGCCGATTCCAATATATCCTTCCCCTCCCCCCTTTTAAACTTTGTGGGGATACAATAAGCAGATTTAAAGTCTAACAAAACAGTTCAGGATATGTATAAGACTGAAATGAAGAGGTCATAAAAATATAAAAAGGTTCAGTTATTTTGCAGCAGCATTTTAAAATTTGAGTATTCAGATCATCTTTCTTTCAATGCAGTTACACTTGTTTGGAAAACAAGAGTTCACACTATTTACATTCTACTGTAAAGCATCTGTTCACATGATCCTTTCATAGTATTTTCTAATACAATCTACAAGCAAAATCAACTGAAAATCCATGCTTATAAAAAAAAAAAAAATATTGAAAAACTAAATATTTAAATTCCTAAGACCAAGAAAAAAATCTTTAGATTCTCAGACTCATCCTCCTCTGAAAAAATGGTGGTGTTACTCTTTATACTTTGTGGAGTAAAAAATCCTGTATTTGTCACCATTTTGCATATTACAGAAAGACACAAGCACACAGGCCTGTGAATGATACAAAATACAAAGTAAAGAAATAAGGCCCCTCTTGTCAGTAAGTGCTGGTCTGAAGTTCAATATATGTATGACCTGGAATGTTATACTGAGCGAGTCTTGGCAATAAATATGCTTATCTGGATGAAATTGTTACTCTGTGGGGATAATGTCAGTTGTAAGTAAATTGGATGATGGTGTGTGCAATATTTTTCTTGAAAGATTTGTGCCCCCCCCCCCCCCCAATAAGTTTATAACTATTCTTGGGTTATTTGAAATCTCCCAAAGATATCTGAGAATATTTACATACCATATTTACATACCGTATTTTGCTTATAAAGTGTGAGGAATGCTATGGCATTCAAAACACCATAACACCAACAGGGGCTCAAAAGGTTAAAGTACGTGCTTTATTCTGACATCACAAACTTTGAACGCCATGGAAGTGCATTGTCATAAGCGTAAATCAAAATTCATGCTCACATTGAACAGAAGCTGTTGCAATGTCTCTTCCATTAACTGACTTACCCAAAGGATAATACAGGGATTTTGAGATCTAAATCACACTTGCAGTCAAGGCAAGGAGTTTAAAATGTAAATATAAGCATTGAATCACTATTTTTTGAAAGATATAGTCTCATAACTGCAACGGAGTGTGCAAACAAATTTTCATAATGCGTGTTACTCATTTTGTTTTGCACACACTTTGCAGTTATGAGAATATATCTTTTTTAAAACATAATGATTCAATGCTGAAGTATAATGATGCAAATTCAGAGTTGCTTACTATATAATATACATATATATATGTTTAAAGTTTCTGTGACAATTTTAGCATAATGGACACGATCAACAACAACTTCCTTTATCTATGTGCTTTAATGGTGTCAAAAAATACAGTTTGGTGAACATGAATTCCAGTCTGGTTTAAAACAAAGATAAACAATGCATATAAATGATTGTAGGAAGTGAATCATTTTTTTTTTTACGAGTTACTAAGATAGGAATGCCTGAGATAAACCAAAAATATGATTAGAATATTCACTGAGTGAAATTGAAAAAATATGTTTCATACATTGATTCTGTATATTACTCCACAAAATATGTCTGAAAAACCAAGTCTACCATTCATCCAAGAGAAGAAAAACTTTGTCTCAATCTTGAATGTTCTCCTGAGAATCTAAAGATTAATTTTTCCTGGCCTAACTATCTTACTATGTTCACTGGAAAGTCCATGGCTACAGGTATACAAACTATTTTTATTTAAAATCTGATAGAGTTCAAAATGCTTTGAAAATATTTGTCTTTGAACTATAACTACCAAATTTTTTGAACACATTCATATTTGATTTTTTAACAAGTGCCTCATCATATTCTTACATCATCTTCAATATCAGGTGAACAAAAACTATTAATTCTGAAACACTACTGAAGAGCACTAAGCAATACCCCTTGAATGCAACAATGCAATTTTACCAAAACAGAAATTATGAACATTGAACAATACATACAAAAATACATGTAACAAATAATGCCCTGCTTCTTGCACTGGTAAAGGAAAATCACATCCAAAATAATAATACAAAAAAGCAAATCAAAAAGTGGCAAAAAATGTCAACAGTATGGTGCATTAATAAAAGCCTTCCTGCCAGATATATAAATAATGATTGTTAATGATTGTTTGCATATTTTAAGCTCAATTATTCTTACATACATGTAAATACTGTTTGTGGCATAAACTCTTTGCATAAAAGTCAAAAGGAACACATTTTTGAGATTGTCCAAATTCCAGTATGATGGGAACACATTCATGATGGTGTACAAAGATACAAACATACATCAAAATTATGTGATCTCATTAATCTTTGATACAGAATCTGTAATATGAAGCAGACTGATTTTTTTGGAACTATTTGCATAATACAGACTGCATGAACTATCTTACAGAAAAATACCAGCAACTATTAAATCGCCCAGATTACAAAATGTAATTTGAAAATAGCATAATAAAATCAAAACCAGAAGTCTCTGATGAGACTGTAGCTCTACTGGTTGTACTTATAAAGGAAGATAAAAGTAGCACTTGGACTTGAAACTTTGCAACAGCAATAAATAGAATAATGATCCTTGGTTTAGTCCGTCTTTGTGGCAAGATTTATTGCAATCAGAATAAAACTGTAGGAGGAGTAGTCTTTTAAAATAATTTTACAGAATTTTCGATTTAAGTAACCATGGCAACATCATTCAACAAAATCAAAAAGCAATAATGACAATTATGTATCTTTATGTAGTCTACTTATATGCCAAGTTATACTAAAATCAGACAAAACATGTATGAGGAGTACACTTTGAAAGTTTTTCAAAAAAATTCTATTTTTAGTAACCATGGCAAAACCGCTCATCAAAATCAAAAACCGATAAAAACAATTATGTATCTTTGTGTAGTCTACTTGTGTGCCAAGTTATAATGAAATGAGATCAAAAATGTAGGAGGAGTAGCATTTTGAATGTATTCACAGAAATTTCTATTTTTAGTAACCATGGCAACACCATTCATTGAAATCAAAAACAGATAAATAGAATTATGTATCTTAGTATTGTCTATTTGTGTGCCAAGTTATAATGAAATCAGATCAAAACTGTAGGAGGAGTAGCGTTTTGATTTTGGCGCTCCTGACATACCTACTTGATACATTCTAAGATACGAAAAAGGGGCCTTGTAGGGCACCCCCGGGGATGCCCCTCCGGTCACACGTTCCCAGGGTGGGGCCGCACCCACACCCCCAAAAGTTTTTCACAGAAATTTCTATTTTTAGTAATCATAGCAACACCATTCATTGAAATCAAAAACCGATATACAGAATTATATATCTTAGTGTAGTCTACTTGTGTGCCAAGTTATATTGAAATCAGACCAAAACTGCAGGAGGAGTAGCATTTTGAAAAATTGTTTACAGACAGACAGACAGACAGATGGACAGACGACGGACACCTTACTATCACATAAGCTTTTCTGGTCTCTGATCAGTAGAGCTAACCAGAGTTTTCTGAAATTACCTGAGTTACTTCTTATAAAGGAATGGACATTTTATGCAATGCTACATTTCTATGAATTCATTTTTTCTGCATAAAAAAACAAACAAATATTACTTGACTAAATGTCAGAAAGGCACATATGCATATATTAATCGTATAGTGTTTGCCTAAGCATTTATTACTGTCAGAAATATTTCTTTAAAATTTTTTTTTAATAAATACAAATTTTCAAAAAAATCTGTGAAAGCTTTAAGAGATACTGATAAAGTTGTTCAGTATTTTCAGTATAGTGCATACAGAGCTTCTCCTCTCTCTGATTAATTCTCCTCACACTCTAACAGGAGGACATCCTCTATGTCATCCATTTGCTTCGTTATCTCTGAAAAAAAAAAAGAACTCTAATAATGAGCATGTTTTCTATGTCAAAATATTAGTAATAAGGAATTGCAGTATATTATTGAGAGAGAGAGAAAAATAAAGAAATAATTCAACCTAGGTCATGTCTACTGATATTGAGGTAAGGTCTACTAAAATCTTCAGGTACAATTTGGTCTAGTTACTTTCAATGTAGAACTCTGATTGGAAGGTTAGGTGCAAGTGAATATAACATTTTATATATTTTTCGAATGTTAGAAAGCTAGGAATCATTCAATCACACAATAATATATAAATAGTGCATGTTTTGGAGGGTAACAGTTGAAACTGACACCCCAGAGAAAAACAATTGTCAACCCACGCATAATTGTCAGTTGACAATAGATTTCTCTTGGGTTGTCAATTTCAACTGTTACCCTCCAAAACATGCAGTATTTATTGTATACCGAATGTCTGATTGATAATTAAAATAGGTCTGAAATTGTTGTGCTGAATCAGATATTGTTTTGAAAGTCAGTTTAACATTTTGTTTTTTTCAGTAAGAAAGCTTCGAAAATGATTCACCAACCTCTCAAGTGCTTGTGTGGTACTCATAAAGTTTTATTCTTCAAAAATTTCGTCATTTCCATGCTAGCAAACAATTTTCTTCTGTTATTGATTTTGCAATCAATCTTACTCAGACCAAGCTTTTATTAACATCATGTTTATTGGGATTATTTCAAACACACAATTGATGTGTTGAGAATTTTACGGTGAACCGTACCCACATAAATTACATTCAGGTAACATTATTGGTAGGTTACTCATTGCCAAGTGTGTTGCTAATGCTGAACATTAAAAATTGGTTAATTCTTCTAAACCAATCAGATTTTAGTATTTAAGATAAAGGAAACAGTAAAGAACATACAGGTCTGGAGTTGACTTACAGAAATTACATCTTGTTTCAGAAGTAATACATTTTTAGCAAGTTATAAAAGTGACTTACCTCTGCATCTTTGAGTTGCAGCATCCAATTTTACTTTTTCTTCCTTTAGATCAGCAATACCTGACCTCAGGCTATTAAGTTCATCTGTTGAAAACAATGAAGTTACTGTACATTGGTACATGTACTTCAATAAACAAGTGAAGCTCATGACAAGACAGGTGACTTACTTTGCAAAACCAGATTTTGTTTCAGAACAGAGACGAATGCTTTGGTGACAATCCAATGAGATTCAGAGCAGGTTTCTTCACAGGATTCTACAAAACACAACAAAGGCATCTTGAAATCTCAGAAACAGTACGGAACACTATTTATTTGCAATTTGTGTATTATTAAAACGCTGATAATAGCAATGGGGAAGGCAGAGTTCTCAAGATGCACCAATCCACCAGGCATCCCAGAAAAAATTTGAATGGGACTGGTAAAATCCAAATTTTATTGGTCAAAATGCCTGGCCGTTTTTACAGCCAGTATTAAAATGACAATGAAAATCTTAACAAAATTATTTAATCAACTGACATCTTATTAATCATTATTGAAAAATATTTTACCAAAAGCCAAAAAAATAATAAACCTTTTTTTCACTCCACATTTGCCAAATCTTCTTTTACACATACATGTATTAAGACTATTTTCTATCCGAGTTAAAAAATAAAATGGACGTTAGCAACAGGAACAAGTAACTATTAACAAGACTTCATGACATTTTTTTTTCACTTTTGATTTATAATTAATAATGAAGTAAAGAATTTACGGAGGATTTATGAAGGGTACTTGCCCTAAGGTCCACCTGATCACAAACTACGGTGTTAATTTAAACCCCTGTCACACCGGGACTGCGTCCTCATGGTGATCGCACAGCGTCCATAAAAAATGCAAAACGCCGAGGTGAGCGCAGTAGAGTCTCCTACAGCGCCGTGACAATGCGACGAGATCTCCACTGAACGCGGTAGGGTCGCGTAGGGTCTCCTAGAATGCCAGGGGATGGCACGCACTTTGGGCATGCACAAAGTACACGCCGTGTGATCGCCGTCTGATAAGAACGCAGTAGAGACGTAGTATGATCGCCGTAGCAGCGCGGTGAGATCTCCAACAACGCAGTGGGAGCTCCGTACGCACGACGTGAAGACGCACATGATTGCAGCATGAACGCAGCAATAGTAGACTGCGCTTCCACGGAGACCTCGCGGAGTCCTTGGAGATGTCATGGCATTTCTATCGCGCTTTTATGGCGCTTCTAATGAGATTAATTGTCTTGTGTTTTTTTTGACTGCAATTACACAGCGACAACAAGGAGTTGTCACTGCGATCATTGCGCTCCCTTGGCGTTTCTACCGCGTACGTTGGCGATCACAATGCGCTTTCACGGCGTTGTTAGAGCGTTGTCAGCCAGCTCACAAAACAAGAGCAATGGCCTCATATTTGATCAGCAATAATTCTAACGTATTTGTTGCACTCCTGGCCAGGAGCATGGGAGAAGAATTGGGAAGTAAAAATTACACCAGAACCTGTTCTGTTGTTTCAGTGGAGTTGCGATGGAATTACTTAAATTTTATAACAACTTTTCAGTGTGTTTATTTTTTACATTCATAATAAAATCAAAGAAAAAACACATCTGAATTGATATAATTGAAAAAAGAAGGGTTTTAATTATAAAACTAACATTAATTTAGCACTAAATTATTCAAATATATCATTTTTGAAGTCTTTTCATTATGTGATTCGAATCTTTAAAAAAAAATTGTGTTACACTCCTTCTGAATATATATCCATAGTGAAGAACGCATCGTGGACGTATTGTGAATGCAGCAAGCGCAGTGAGAACGCAGTGAACACTAGGTGACAACTCCTAACACGCTGTAAAACTCCGCGGAAGCGCAGTCAATCGCGAAGAGATCTCCGTTGGGAACGCAGTAGCACGCCGCGAGAACGCCGTAGAAACGCGTGGGTCGCCGTAGGGACGCCGTGACATCTTCACATTGTAAAAATTTTACAGAAATTTGTGCAATTTCCCTGCGATTCCACTGCGATTTTAACATTTTTACAACGCCGTAATGACTCCGTGTGGACGCAGCTTGGTGTGACAGGGCCTTTAGAGAAACTGTGTAGGAAATAGAAAGGTAAAGGGAATAAATTAGCATGAACAATATTTTACTGTTTTTTATTACTTTTTTTGTCCATGTGTTTATTTTATGCAAAACATTAATGTTTTGCATAAAGTCTGACTAGTTTCAGGAACTCTGAGAAGACCTCTGTAAATAGATTCAAATCAGGTATTGTGTATTTGTTTGACTTACTAAAGAACCTTTGGAGAGTTTGCTCAATCTGTGCATCATCTGCTGTCGGGGGTATACTGGACAGGGCAGCTTGGACATCATGCATGGTATTAGGGTCCAAAAGAGTGTTTTGGCTGTTGTTATTGTTGTTTGCCAAGGAATTCAGCAACATACTGAAGCAATCCAACTCAGAAGAACTGCTTTCCACAACTAAAAAATAAATTGAAGATGATAATCAGTTTCTTTATAAAACTTCCCTCACCCAAAAGAACTTACGATTATATTAAGTACATACCATTTTTATGCTGATCTTCGGTTGTTGTGAAGTCTTCGTCCAAATTTCTCTGTGCCTGTCTCTTCTCAGAAATGGGTGTCTGTACAGTGCTGGAGACCTCATTTGTTTGACACAGATCCACATTGTTTGACATCTTCTTACTCTGGATAGGGGTACCGGGTTGAGCAGGACTTCTCCTTTCCTCTAGCATGATTTCTTCTGCATTACTCTTGTGGTGACTCACTGTCTCACCTGTTGGAGATCTCTCTTCAGCACTTGGCACCTTCTCTGCTGAGTCTTCTGTGATGGAATTAGTTTTTTGTCCATTTTGTTGAAATTTAATTGAAGGTGACATGTTTTGATCAGTAACCTCTAAATGGTCTGGGTTCTTTGGCATGATATTTGTTCTCTCAATAGATGACACTTTTTCAAGTTGATCACTCCTCTCAGGTTCATGCTCAGTTTGACCAACTTGATCTTGCTTTTCAGGTTCTATCTGTTTGACAATATCAAACAGAATCTCTTCCTCAAGGAGAGTTGCATTCTCTGTCATCTCTGGCAATGAAGGCTCCAATCGATTGAAGAAATCTGCCTCTATCTGTTCACATCTAAATGCCCTGTACTTATTGTCCTTTCTCCTCCTCATACACTCAGTAAGATCTTGAACATCAAATCTTTTACACAAGTCAGCAAAAGGATAAAACTTTAATCCATCAATGACAAGAAACCTGAAATGTGCTCCATACAAAGGGGCAATACCTCCCCTCAGTAATACCTCACATTCATTATTTTCACTCTCATCTATATTGTCTATATCATTATTAATGCCCTTTTCTAGATCAATACTGTCTCCTTGGATTTTCTCACTACACATTTCATCTTCAACTTCTTGACTACCTTCTTCAGTTGTGTCTACCTGTACTATTTTAACAGGCTGAACTACCTCCTTTAAGAAAACATCCTGACTGCCTTCCTCTATTTGCTGTTCTGTCTTTATTTCTTTGTCTATGATATCATCCTGATTACTTTCTCCAGTACTAAGCTGCTTCGTCTTCATCTCTTCATTTGTTGTCACTCCATCTTGTGAATCTGTAGAACTGAAAACATCTAGCAGAATAACATCATCATCATTATCCTCATCACTCTCCTCAGCATATGGAATTGTAGCATCACTTTCATATTCAGTGGATGAGTTAGTTTTCCTTTTAGGACTATCTATTTCAACAACTGTGACTTCAACAGCCTTTCCTGTTCCTCCATCCAGAGAACATTTTCTTGACTTCTCTGATGTCGCATTGGTATTATCAGTGCTGGGGTACAACTGAATACAGTCAGGTCCACAATTTTTCAGTCCAAAAAAATACTGATACAGCCTGTGAGCATCACTAACATGGATAATTCCAATGTGGTTTCCTTTTGTTGTTCTTGTAAGAATTTCTGACTTTATCATGTATTCTTTAACCTCAACTCTCCTCTCCTCTGGCAATTCTTTATAGCGAATGTTCAGGTCACGTTCTTTGGCCAAAAATACATCTGTAAAATATTTATAGTGCAAATTTTTAGCAGGAATGTCTTTACCAGCTTTGGCTTGTGCCAGAGATACAAAGTTTTTCTTCAAAATTTCTCGCATTAACAGGTGTGGTCCATCCTCACAATTTATGCACAAAACTTTTTCCCCATGGAACTTTATTGGGAAACGTGAACGTGCTTCAACAAGTATACAAGTTGTTTCTGGTGGAGGTACTTTTTGATTCTGAGTGGATGCCAGATTAGAGTCTGAGTACACCTCTTTCTCAGTTTCCTCATTTGTATGACACACATTCTTATCTTCCAACATGGGTTGCTGATGTTGTTGAGGATCCTTCTGAGCTTTCTTCTTCACTGTCTCACTGTCTGCAGATTTTACCTCTGAGATCATGTTGTCTTTGGGAGACTGGGCGAAATCTTGGTTCCTCTGATCAGACTCCTTACAGAGTTTTTTGGACGGATGAACATTTAAATCTTGTGTTGTACTTTCTTGATCCACATCAGTTGGGAATCGCTTCCTTTTGATGGCACCGGTATCATCTTCCTGCTTCTTCAGAGAAGTACTTTGCTCTTTTTCCTCACTGATATACTCATTTTTTTCTGATGAATTATTTTCAACTGTGGATATCTCAGTAAGCACTGGAGTTCTGGCATGATCAATAGGTGTTGGTTCTGTTTCCATTACTGAAGTTTCTGTGTTTAAAATAGACTCGGCTGTAGAAGTTATGATATCTGGTGTGGGGTCTAATGTTTGTTTAATGTTCACCATCACCTTACTGAGGACATCAGACAGTTTCTTGATACCTTTATTTGACAATATAACTTTCTGATTGGCAGACATTGAACTTTTCTTCTTTTGTTTCGTCTTGGAGGGGGGATGAAATGGTAATTTAACCATCATGTACTGATGCCTATCTTTTTGGCCATTATCTATTTCATCAGATGAGAGTGTAACCTCAGAGTCATCTTGCTCTCTTTCAGGACTGACAGTTTGTTCACTTTCCCAGTTTTCATTCAATTCTATTTTAAAAGACTGTGAGTCATTTTCAATAGGACTGATGATGTATTCCTGATGGTCAGAGGCTTCAAGTTTATCACTAGGATCGGCAGAGGTTGCTTGGACTTCACTTTGTTGACTGACTTGTATTTCATTATTGTAAGACGTGACTGATTGAACAACTGTGTTCATATTCATTTCTGCTGAATCAGATCCGTTTACTGATCTTAAACAACTAACCTGTTCCTGCCTGTCTTCTGGGAGTCTGTACCATTGTCCCAACACTGACTTGTCTGAAGGTTCATTCACTTGAATATCTGATGTATTCATCAAGGGAGGAAAATCTTTAAATATCCCAATTTCCTCCTGACGTTTGAGATAAGCATCACAAAATTCAGAAAATGCAGATGGCTGACCTCCAGGATTTAATACTGAGAAATTCTTCAGGTAATGTTCGTACAATTGGCGACAGTGGAGAAAGAATCCAATCTTTGGACCCTGTGGAATAACTGCTGACAAAGTTGTTGACTTCTGTTGAAATGATTGCCATTCTGGGGAAGACTGAAGTTGCTCGGTCATTGTCGGTGAATGTATGGGATTCACCATCTGTTGGATGCTTGGTTGAGGTCTAAAAGCTGGGTGCATTTGAGGCCTACTCAATGGTGGTGCATTATGTTGAGGAGTGATGTTTCTTTGGGGTGGATCAAATTGTTGTAAATTTTGTGGTGGATGGTACCGATTTGGTAGCCTTGGTCCATTTACATTTGGCATGGAATATTGTCTCATCATTTGGTTTGTAACATGACCTCTCAAATAATTATTCCCTGCAAGTACAAAGCAATCGTTCTGCATGAATTATTGAACAATATGTTAATGTATATGTATGTTACATTGTCTTAGTGTCCTACAAAATACACAAGTTACATAAACACTGATTTCGACTGAATATCACTGCATAAAACACTGATAACTATTTTTTTCAGAATTACAGAATTGTGCCATATATTTCTGAATAAACATAAAAATAGCATTAACGTTTCTGACATGATTACTGTATACAGTGTTATTTTCACCCTTTCACACTTGCAAACAATTTTGCAAATTAAATTTGCCCAATCACAATTCTGTTTAAGAAATTATACTGTATTTTTTGAATTCAACCCCGTTTTAAATTCGCCCACCTGTGAGTAAGGCAGAAGGGGCGAAAATAAAACGGGGGCGAAAATTTCCCTCTATACAGTATTTGAAAGTACATATTTTCTCCTAATCACATAGTAAAACCTTGCAACTGTCTTACTTATATAAATAGCCAACAATTTTCACTATCTATCAATGACATCACAGACCCTATAGAGTATTTTAAAAAGTATGGCAGTATTTTTGACTTTGGTTGAAGATTCTGTAAATATTTTCAATCCAGTACCAAGTAACATTTCTACTTGCCTTGAGTGTAGGTGGTCCCTACTTGGTTTCTGACTCTGGTGTAACCTTGTGTTGAAAAGCTCTGTTGAGGAGGTACTGAGAAGTTTCTAAACATTTCTGACTGCGACTGAGTCCCATTAGATCTGGACCCTATTCTCTGAGAACTGTCAGTATGTGACATTGGTACTCTTTGATTTGGCCGAGGTACTTGAAAAATTCCCATATCTTGTGAATAATATGGCTGTTGGCCAGGCTGATGTGCCAAAGATCTACCCAAAGGGGCATTCTGATTGATGGAAGTTCCAAGAGTAACTCCAGCACTGGCAAGTGTTGTGTAAGCAGAGGGGTTCCTATATTGGTTGGTACTTGATGCTGGTGTCAAAGGTGTGCCATTAAACTGGTTCTGTTGATCTGCTACTCTCACTGACCTTTGGTAAGTGGCTGTGTACTGCTGATATGTTGGGTAAATGCTTGGAGAAGGTGTCTGCTGGATGCTTCCTGGCATAAACTGATTTGACTGTTGTTGTGCAGGTCCATTTGTTATTGTGCCTGCAATTAAAAAAAACATTACTTATTGATCAATGCAAATCAATCACCTAAGTTATAACTGCATCACCCAAATATATATTACAATAATTCATTTACTGTAATGCCTATAATTTTATTAGGATCCATTATGTGATATAGTCTTACCTATAGTGCCTATCTCTTGACTGAAAGATATTGGTGTTGTTTGTCCATGTGATTGACCTACAGAACTTGAACTAGTCCACGTTTCTTGACCACCACTCTGGATGTTTCTGATAGGCTGTAACCCACTGTCCCAGACTTCTGGGTTGGTTGCCATGTTGTCCTCATCTATATCATGACCAAATACATACTGATAGAGATCCTCTAAAGGTGTAGGAAGTCCTGCTTCACTCTACAATAAAGGTGGAATTCTTTTTTTAAAAAAAAACTAAAATATCATATCAGCCATAAATCTTACATTCATTTCATAAAAATATATATTTTAAATATGATGGACTTAAAAATTCCTCACAAATATTTATCTAACGTAACTCTTGATACCTCGAAGTCCGCGGGACCGAGGAATAGTGAGAGATCAAGTTTTCAAGAGTACAGAATTTTCCGGATTGGTTGACAGGTTGTAATATTAGTCTAACTGGGTGTAATTATTAGCTCACCTGAGCCGAAGGCTCAAGTGAGCTTTTCTGATCAAAATTTGTCCGTTGTCTGTCGTCGTCGTCGTAAACTTTTCACATTTTCAGCTTCTTCTCAAGAACCACTGGGCCAATTTCAACCAAACTTGCCACAAAGTATCCTTGGGTAAAGGGGATTCAAGTTTGTTCAAATGAAGGGCCAAGCCTTCTTCCAAGGGGAGATAATCATGAATTCATGAAAAATTAATGGCATCATTTAAAAATCTTCTTCTCAAGAACCACTGTGCTTGAAAATATGAAACTTATATGGAAGCATCCTCAGGTAGTGTAGGTTCAAGTTTGTTCAAATCATGACCCCCCAGGGGTAGGGTGGGGCCACAATGGGCGATCAAAGTTTTACATAGGAATATATAGGAAAACTCTTTAAAAATCTTCTTCTCAAGAACAGCAAAGCCATGATTGGTCATATTTACATGGAAGCATCCTCAGGTAGTGTAGATTCAAGTTTGTTCAAATCATGACCCCCAGGGGTAGGGTGGGGCCACAATGGGCGATCAAAGTTTTGAATAAGAATACATAGGAAAAATCTGTAAAAATCTTCTCAAGAACAACAAAGCCATGATTGGTCATATTTACATGGAAGCATCCTCAAGTAGGGTAGGTTTAAGTTTGTTCCAATCATGACCCCTGGGGGTAAGGTGGGGCCACATAAAATAATATAGGAAAAGTTTGCAAAAATTTTCTTCTCAAGAACAGCAAAGCCATGATTGGTTTTTTTTATGGGTGCATCCTCAGGTAGTGTAGATTCAAGTTTGTTTAAATCATGACACCCCCCCCCCCCCCCAGGAGTAGGGTGGGGCCACAATGGGCAATCAAAGTTTTACATAGGAAAAAGCAAGCCTTTTAAAATCTTCTTCTGAAGAACAGCAAAGCCATAATTAGTCATATTTAAATGCAAGCATCCTCGGGTAATGTAGATTCAAATTTTGTTCAAATCATGACCCCCCAGGAGAATAGAGGGGTCATAACAGGGGATCATAGTTATACAAAGGAATACAAATGATATATCAATAAAAATTGTCTTCTTAAGAACAGCATAGCCATTTAAAAGCATCCCTTTGAAGTATAGATTCAAGTTCAAATCCCCCCCCCCCCCCCTCTCGAACCACTTTTATATCAGAACTTTTCAAGACTGATCTCTGCTTTTTCCTAGTCAGAGTGCTCAGGTGAGCGATGTGGCCCCTGTGCCTCTTGTTTTTAATCATTTCCAGTGCTAATCATACACATGCCTTAACAACGGGACCCTTTAACAACGATACTTCTTTGTATTTTTCTAGTGAATCTACGCATCTGCTTTTTTAAAAAAAACTGAGTAAAGCAAAAAATTATATTTTGTCATCATATTTAGATGAACATCATACTACACATTCATTACATGTTACAATTTCTAGCATTATAGCATAGATTATTTACATCTGTTCATATCAACATTGAACAAAGTTCTGTAAGTATTTGTAAAAATTGTCATATTGCTGCAATGCATACCGTAGTTTGCATTTTTATTATTCATATAACATGTGACTTAAAATTAGTGTCTCGTCTCATTATCAATTTCTACTTTTCACTGCATCTCCAAATTATCGTAAGAAAGTCTACTTTATTATTTTAAGAGCAGACAGGCAACAATATGATCAATTACATTTGTATCGATCTTTTATCACCTTGTAGTAAAGTGTACATAATCTGAATAAGCATCCCGTTGGGTCCTGCGTCAAATGAATGTTCAGGTAAGGTGTTAATTATGTAACACTTGTGCACATTTCGCCACTTCGAGGAATTGAAGGTAAATTACATTATGCTTAGTGGGACTGCATTTTGACTGAGGAATCAAGGGTTTTGAGAGATCGAGAGGTTGAGAGATCAACAGTAAATCTGCTTACTTATTTAGGGGAAAAAATATCAGGACCAGAGACCCCCCCCCCCAAAAAAAAAAAATCAGCAAATTGTGGTCCCCATTTTCAGGGTATTTTTGGTTTTGGTGCAATGATATGTGGAACATTTTAACTTTTTTGTCTGTGGAATATTTTTACTGTTTTGTCTATCTATTATCATATCTTTGTCATATTTAAAAAGAGGTTTAACATCATAAATCATAGTACATCAAGAAAGGTCTTGTCACATGTTATGTACATGTGAAGTATGAACGATCAGTCTCATCAAGTGCAAAAGGTCAACAATTATAGTTATAGTTATATGTCTAACTGTGACCCCTGTTGTTTTTGAGAAGAATTTTAAAGATATTTCCTATTCTATGTAAAACTTTTGCCCATATTTGGCCCCATCCTACCCCCAGGGGGCATGACTTGAAAAAAATTGAATATACACTATAAAAGAAAGTACATGTATTCAAATTTAAATCTTCACTTGACAGAGGGTTTGGCCCTACAATTGAACAAATCTGAATTCACTTCACCCAGATAAGCTTTGTGCCAAGATTGGTTGAAATTGTCTTTGTGGTTCTGGAGAAAAAGATGAAAACATGAAAATTTCAAGACAAAGATGATTGCGATAATGACAGACAACAAATATTGACCAAAAAACTTACTTGAGCCTTTGGCTCAGGTGAGCTAAAAAATGGAAGCATTTAAGCAATATCAAAATTTGCATATGCACTGTATGTAATAATGATTGTGCCATTTTCTGGTGGAATGTACCATGATAAAATTATTTGCCAAGTACTTGTAGAATAGCACTGTCAGTGAGAATGTAAAGAGCTAGCTTCACTTGGAGAGTAAAATGTCCCTGTTTGTGACAATTAATCATTTGTCACCTATGTCAAATTTTAAACTTTAGAGACTTCATGCTTTTATTTCCTATTGAAAACATCCCTGGAAAAGTCTAATGGAGAATAAGTTTCATGACATCACAAAAATCTTGAATTTTACAGAAAACTGGTATATTGGAATACATTCAACAGTTTTCAATATTAGTACATCTCTGGATCCTAAAAATAGAATATATGTGTAATAAAATTTACTAACAATTCCATCACTATAATCTTAAAAATTTTGGATCATATAGATTGTATTCTATTCAAAATATTGAAAAACAGCTTCAAATTTTGCTCTATAGGTAGAAATTTTCCTAAAGCATTAATGATACATTAACAAGCTGAACTAGAACTGTCCAAAAGGGACAAATTCCCCCCGCTGGGTTTTTCAGAGAAGGTACCAAATCACTAATGTTTTCTAGATGTGAGAGGTGTTCACAATTTGCTTAAACATTTAGAGCGAAAATTTAATTACTCATTATATTTTTTTTAATGAATGAAACTAAGGTGCAGCCTAATAAAACATCAATACTAATAATTACAGTGTTTTTTACATCTTCGCTAGCCAAGGGTTTATGATACGCTACTCTCCTCATAAGCCCTTGGCATACGGTGTTAAAAAAGTTGGGATTTTTTTCTCAAGCTGTGATTGGAGCTGATCGACATCATTCGACCAATCAGCAATTGTTTTTTGTAAATGACGATATTTGCGTTCGGGATATATCTTGACTCTTTAATATCGGAATGAAAAACGCAAGTAAACAACGATCCATAAGATAACATGTCATTCTATGAATAGCTATATGGTGTCACCCAATATCTTAAGCTACATGCAAAATATGTGATTAAGAGTCTATACTGAAGATGTAGATTTGCATTTTAACATGTTTAAATAACAAATTAACATAACTCAATACCTTCTTGTTAATTATTCTTCAAAAACATTATATTTTTACATACGCTTTTTATTTCTGTCGATGACGCAATCTGTGCGTACCTGGTAAGAAGCATGATCACGTGACGAAAACAATCCCGTCTTTTGTCAGCACCGTATGCCAAGGGTTTATGAGGAGAGTAGCGTATCAGGAACCCTTGGCTAGCGAAGATGTGTTTTTTATTACACTGAAAAAATAGTTTGCAACTATCTGTCATCTTTGTGAGACATGACACTCTGCAAATTGTTGAAAAAAAAAACATCATAGTTAATTATACAAAATCAAATTGATCTTAATACCTTTCTATCAAACTCATTTTAAAAATAAAAGGCTGTTCCAGTAACTATGTATTTTGACAGACATAAATTACAATTAAGAGACTTAGACAACAGAGATCTTTATTTCTTTCTGCCCAATTCCCAGGAGATATAGATAAGACCTGCTTGATCAGAGATGCCCTAACAGCTTCCCACACTGAACTCATTAATTAATCTTTAACTGGATGCATGTCCACTCATTACTCCCAAGGGACAAATGGATTTACACTATCTACTGTGTAATGTAAAAACTGTTTTTAATACTTTGTGATTTTTTTTTTAGTTCTAATGAGTAGTTTTAAGCTGTAGTTCACATTTTTGTGATTCTATGTCTCAAACCTTAGACATGAACCCGAAATGACTAAGTCAATAAAAATGAAAAAAAAAAAAAACACCTGTAAAATGCTGAAAAATTATCAAATAATGTTGAAAATACCAGGTGCACATCTTCATATGGTACATAGTAAGTGTACAAATTTTCATACAAATCTATGCAATAGTCTCTGGGAACAGATCCAGACAAAACCAAGTAATAAAAATGAAAAAAAACACACCTGTAAAATGCAAAATAATTATCCAATCATGGAGAAAATACCAGGTGCACACCTTCATATGGTGAATAATAAGTGTACAAATTTTCAGACAAATCCTAGCAACAGTTTCAAAGAAATGGTCCGGACAAAACCTTGTCTACAGACAGACGGACATGCTGATTCCAATATACCCCCCCCCCCCAAACTTCGTTTGCGGGGGGTATAAAAATAATGCATGTCACTATTTATATGTTCATTGTAGTCATCATGAGTCCAACTAACATTTAATGCCTTTTCCATTAAAATTATCATTGACAAGTTTTAATTTTTTGGAAAGAACAAGGTTCACTTACAGCCTTTTTTGGCCCTGTGAATTTCTGAAAAATCAGAAATGCTCAGTTTATTTGAAAATACATTAAATTTCACTTGGACCCTTGGTGACTGCATATCTATTAAAAAATGGCGTAATTTCTCGCTAGTCCATTTATCATGACATCATGAATTGGGTCAATATCCTCAAATACTGAAATATTCTTCAAAAATGGCCAAAAATTTAAGCTGTTTTCTAATATTTTTTGTAGCCCCCAATCTCTGATCCAAATGTTCAATTACATAATAAAAGAACTGCTTCAGCAGAATATAATCCATGTTTTCTTTTTTGGATCAAGGGGTGGGATCATATTTTAATCTTTTCTGAAGGTACTCAAATACATCCATTTTCTTCAAAATTCAAGAACTTTGCATTTCACAAAGCCTGTTTTTCAAAAGCTTGACCATCAGAGAAAATTTTTTAATAGGAAATGAAAGTACTAAGACTTACTTTATATTGATGTTTGAAATGGGACATTGGGACTTGGCCAATTAGTTGGTATATGGCAGGGACATTTTATGGATAAAGTGAACCTAACTCTTTTAGGCTCTTTGTGAACCTTGTTCTCCCATGTAGCCCTTATCTCTAAAAGTCTGACACTATCTAAGTCTAGAGGGTATCCCAGCAGGATATCCACATCATTCAAAACATTCAGCCTGATTCTGTTCATATGTACACACAATTCAATCTACAGATCAGTTTCTGTAGTTATGGATATCTATAGATGGCAAAGCAAAATCTCATATTCAAAACTGATCTATATATTACACAGTATTCAACTGCAAGCCAAAGATTATGATCACTTATATATTTATACATGTAAATGTTTATAAATTTATCTATCATCCAAAAACATGACATGTACTCCAAAATGATTGAATTTGTCCTTTATCTTTAATACTAACATCAGTAGACTAAAAGAAATACATTTTGAATTTTTGCTTACCATCACACAAGTTCTCTGTTCTGCCATGCTAATTCCTCTCTCACAAAACCCCCCAACAATGTGTCAAGCTGTTACTGCATGAGGGAAACCTGAGCCAACATGGCCAGCACAGTTAGAGGCACGAGAGAGTAATTAGGGAGTCAGATACAGGGAACCTGTCATCAAGCAGAAACACAGCATTTCTCCATCAGTGACTATAATATATTAATTTAGAGTGCAATTGAAAGTGTTGATGGAACAATGTTTAAATAAATTGTTTGGTAATTTAATGGGGTGGGGATTCCTATCACTACAAAGTAGATGCACTTGACAAGAGTAATTAATATGAGGGTTTCCATCAAATTCCCATTGGAGGGATAGGCAATAGCATTCTGCCTCAACAGCTTAAAATTTTATCTTTCATTTCAAATTGAAACAAACTATTGTCTATATACTTTTTTCCCTAATGTTCTATCAGGTTTTGAGATTTACCTTCTTGTCTTTTCCCACACTTTGGAAAGTTTCACAGATTTATAACTGACCTCACTATTCCTTATGCTTGTGTTATCAGCTATAATTAAGGAAGCCAGTGTGAAAAGTATGCCAGGTAATGAATTATATCTTCATCTCTCTCTCTTTGTTTATTGGAGAGCATGAGAAAAGATTTTAATGATAAACAGATTGATAATGTTATTTCTATATGATCCCACTCCATTTAATTTAATAATAACCCACCCCAACCCTCCTTGTAAAAGAAAATGGCTCCTTATCTAAATTATCCAGGAATGCTTCCACCAAGTTTGGTTGACAATGGTCAAGTCAGTTTCATAGTAGAAGTGATATTATGTGCCAGAGAGAGTGATTAATAGCTAGGTGAAAATTAATAAAATATAACTATAGGCCCAGTAAGCTAGGCTTGGTATAAAATGCTGAGGATGAAGTCTCCAAAATGGAGTGTCACAGAGTGTAAGGGGTGGAGTCTCTTGAGTAAGATGATGCAAGGGGTGGAGAATCTTGCTGCAATTTTAGCACTATTGCTTTAATTAAATCTGTCAACTCAATTTCTAATTTTCCATGAGAACTTGTTAGAATGCCACATTTTCCAAACAATTAAAAGATAATTTCTTTGAAGTTGACTGAATTAATCTAGTTTATGCCAAAACTCAATTTTGTGTAGACCATTTGACAATACCTTACGAAGTATGTTAATGACAAACAGCTAGGAAACAGTGAAACAATTTATGACCTTCACATGTCAAAAAGGGGAACAACTTTGCTATTGAATTAAATTTTTAAGAGAGACTGAATGAAACAGATTATCCTTTGGTGCAATGTTGTCATTTAATTTTGAAATGATCGAGAAACAACAAAATGAGATTCAATCCAATAAATGACCTTTAGACATCATATTAAACAAAGGGGGGCATAAATCCTCTGCTTTTGATTTAAATTTTGATAGATACAGATACTGAGTGCAAGGGAAACATCTAAACATCGGTAAGATTTGGTCCCCATGTTGCAATCCCACATTTACTCATGAAGTCTTGACATATTTAATTAGGTTTCAGGGTATCAAACTGAATGAAAGATAAAATAGGCAAATGTGTTGAAACCGACATAAGAGGCTCCACCCCTTGCACTATTTGAAACTCCATTTTGGAGCCCCCATCCTCTGCATTTTACACCAAGCCAAATTGTAAACAGGAACTGTTACAGACTGTATTCTCTTTAGAGAAGTAGACAGGCTTTCACCTACATGGATGTAGGCAAAAGCCTGTCTACTTCTCTAAAGAGAATATTACAGACTGCACAACAGTATTAAATTTTGCTATACATTCTTACCAAAAATGCACAACTTTGAGTAGATGGTCTTAATTTAAAACAAAATTTTAAGAGGTTTCCTTTTCAGATCTTGTAAAACAATTCTTTATAAAGATTTTAGTATATATATAGCATTCCAGCAAGGCACGCAAGTTTGTTTTGGTTGAAGTTGAGCAGGTGCTTGAAAATTCACTCCCCACTCAAATACAGTACATAGAAAAATCAGCACGCCCTTCAATTATAATGAATCTGGTCAATACAGGAAGTTTACATATAGTTTTTCATCTCATAAAAAATTCAGCTCCAGTTTCGTGCCAAAATGCCCTAATCAGGAGGGGAGATTCAGGAATTATTTTGTGTCAGCCATGTTTTGAAGTGAACCTCAACTGAAATACTGTTATAACACCTTACAGATATTCCCCTAATGGCTTCCTAATCCCCTTTCGTCCCCCATTCCCTACAAGCTTCAATAGGCAATACTTTTGTTTTATAGTTTTACATTTTATTTTCCCAAGTATTTTGTTGGAAAACTACTCTGATATTACCGTACAGGTATTAGCCAATCAAATTTCAGTGCATGTGCTTGCATGACTTTTCTATACTTTCACATATATTTTCTTATAGTATCTCACAATATACCTATGTGTTAAATATCAAAGAATTTCATTGAAAAATAAAGAAATATAACTATTTAAGTATAAGCCAATCAGAACAATTCAGCAAATGTATGCATGTGTTTGCATTCGGATTTGATAGTAACATAATGTAAGGATGCACTATACTTATCTACTTTTTATGTATTATATACTTGTCCTGAGTGTTCAAAACTAAGAAAGAAAGTTACAACCATTTTAAGTTTCAGCCAATCAAATTGCAACACATGTGCATGCACCTGTTTTCAAGAAATTACCTACATGTATCATATTGAAGAACCTCATAATTGGCTACAATTTCAATTTCAATGTATTTTTGTGTCGGCCAATCAGAGCAAAGTGCACGTACATGCACGTTTTTTGCTGAGCCAACCACATCATCTTGTCTACACTACTAATATATGTTTATAATAATTATAATTTATATACCATGTATACTGAGGTTCAAAGGATATCAGTCATTTTGCTCATAGCATGTGCACGCATGTGCAATGACCTTTGTTCAACAAATCTTAACAACATGACTGTTAACTCAAAAAAAGTTTCTTCTAAATTGGATGAGTAGTTTCAAAGCACAAACATAGGTAATCAAAGATTACGAAGCTCACCTCGACGAAGGTTATCTATAAGTAAGGCAAATCTCACATCATATTTTTTCTAGTTAGTGTACATCCCAAAATCAATATCTATACAAGTTTAGTTTAAGAAGGACTAATAATTACTTGGAAATAGACCTGCTCAAAAAACTTTAACCTGGTCACTCATCTAGAAAATCTAGGTCAGATTCAGCATCCGAAGCAAGTGTGTAGTGTTCATCCCTAGATGCATCATCCATGCAAGTTTGGTCCAGGTAGGGCGTATAGTTACTTGGGAATGGACCTGCTCCAAAAACTTTAACCTGGTCACTCATCTGGAAAATCTAGGTCAGATTCAGCATCCGAAGCAAGTGTGGTAGTGTCCATCCCTATATGCATCATCCATGCAAGTTTGGTTCAGGTAGGGCTTATAGTTACTTGGGAAAGGATCTGCTCCAAAAACTTTAACCTGGTCACTCATCTGGAAAATCTAGGTCAGATTCAGCATCCGAAGCAAGTGTGGTAGTGTCCATCCCTAGATGCATCATCCATGCAAGTTTGGTTCAGGTAGGGCTTATAGTTACTTGGGAATGGACCTGCTCCAAAAACTTTAACCTGGTCACTCATCTGGAAAATCTAGGTCAGATCCAGCATCCGAAGCAAGTGTGGTAGTGTCCATCCCTATATGCATCATCCATGCAAGTTTGGTCCAGGTAGGGCGTATAGTTACTTGGGAATGGACCTGCTCCAAAAACTTTAACCTGGTCACTCATCTGGAAAATCTAGGTCAGATCCAGCATCCGAAGCAAGTGTGGTAGTGTCCATCCCTATATGCATCATCCATGCAAGTTTGGTTCAGGTAGGGCTTATAGTTACTTGGGAAAGGATCTGCTCCAAAAACTTTAACCTGGTCACTCATCTGGAAAATCTAGGTCAGATCCAGCATCCGAAGCAAGTGTGGTAGTGTCCATCCCTAGATGCATCATCCATGCAAGTTTGGTCCAGGTAGGGCGTATAGTTACTTGGGAATGGACCTGCTCCAAAAACTTTAACCTGGTCACTCATCTGGAAAATCTAGGTCAGATCCAGCATCCGAAGCAAGTGTGGTAGTGTCCATCCCTAGATGCATCATCCATGCAAGTTTGGTCCAGGTAGGGCGTATAGTTCCTTGGGAATGGACCTGCTCCAAAAACTTTAACCTGGTCACTCATCTGGAAAATCTAGGTCAGATCCAGCATCCGAAGCAAGTGTGGCAGTGTCCATTCTAGATGCATCATCCATGCAAGTTTGGTCCAGGTAGGGCTTATAGTTACTTGGGAATGGATCTGCTCCAAAAACTTTAACCTGGTCACTCATCTGGAAAATCTAGGTCAGATTCAGCATCCGAAGCAAGTGTGTAGTGTTCATCCCTAGATGCATCATCCATGCAAGTTTGGTTCAGGTAGGGTTTATAGTTACTTGGGAATGGACCTGCTCCAAAAACTTTAACCTGGTCACTCATCTGGAAAATCTAGGTCAGATCCAGCATCCGAAGCAAGTGTGGTAGTGTCCATCCCTAGATGCATCATCCATGCAAGTTTGGTCCAGGTAGGGCTTATAGTTACTTGGGAATGGATCTGCTCCAAAAACTTTAACCTGGTCACTCATCTGGAAAATCTAGGTCAGATCCAGCATCCGAAGCAAGTGTGGTAGTGTCCATCCCTAGATGCATCATCCATGCAAGTTTGGTCCAGGTAGGGCGTATAGTTACTTGGGAATGGACCTGCTCCAAAAACTTTAACCTGGTCACTCATCTGGAAAATCTAGGTCAGATCCAGCATCCGAAGCAAGTGTGGTAGTGTCCATCCCTAGATGCATCATCCATGCAAGTTTGGTCCAGGTAGGGCGTATAGTTCCTTGGGAATGGACCTGCTCCAAAAACTTTAACCTGGTCACTCATCTGGAAAATCTAGGTCAGATCCAGCATCCGAAGCAAGTGTGGCAGTGTCCATTCTAGATG